ATTCTTGAAATCGGCCAAAATCTTGAATTCAGGGTTTTGCAAGGCTAAAATCTTGAACTCTGCCAAAATCTTGAATTCAGGATTTTGGAAAGCTAAGATCTTGAAATCGGCCAAAATCATGAATTTAGGATTTTGGAAAGCTAAAATCTTGAAATCGCCCAAAATCTTGAATTTAGGATTTTGGAAGGCTAAAGTCTTGAAATCGTCCAAAATCTTGAATTGTGGATTTTGGAAAGCTAAGATCTTAAAATCGGCCTAAATCTTGAATTCAGGATTTTGTAAAGGTAAAATCTTCAAATCCGCTAAACTCTTGAACTTAAGATTTTGGAAAGGTAAAATCTTGAAATTAGCCAAAATCTTGAATTCAGGATTTTGAAAAGCTAAAATCTTGAAATCCGCCAAAATCTTGAATTCTGGATTTAGGAAAGCTAAGATCTTGAAATCGGCCTAAATCTTGAATTCACGATTTTGGAAAGCTAAAATCTTCAAATCCGCCAAAGTCTTGAATTTAAGATTTTGGAAAGGTAAAATCTTGAAATTAGCCAAAATCTTGAATTCAGGATTTTGGAAAGCTAAAATCTTGAACTCGGCCAAAATCTTGAATTCAGGATTTTGGGAAGCTAAAATCTTGAAATCGGCGAAAATCTTGAATTCAGGATTTTGGAAAGCTGAAATCTTAAAATCGGCCAAAATCTTAAAATCAGGATGTTGGAAGGGTTAAATCTTGAAATAGGCCAAAATCTTGAATTTAGGATTTTGGAAAGCTAAAATCTTGAACTCGGCCAAAATCTTGAATTCAGGATTTTGGAAAGCTACAATCTTCAAATCGGCCATAATCTTGAATTCAGGATTTTGGAAGGCTAAAATCTTGAAATCGGCCAAAATCTTGAAATCAGGATGTTGGAAGGTTTAAATCTTGAAATCGTCCAAAATCTTGAATTCAGTATTGAGGAAGGCTACAATCTTCAAATCGGCCATAATCTTGAATTCAGGATTTTGGAAGGCTAAAATATTGAAATCGGCCAAAATCTTGAAATCAGGATGTTGGAAGGTTTAAATCTTGAAATCGGGCAAATCTTGAATTCAGGATTTTGAAAAGCTGAAATCTTGAAATCTGGCAAAATCTTGAATAGAGGATTTTTGAAAGCTAAAATCTTAAAATCCGCCTAATTTTTGAATTCAGGATTTTGGAAACCTAAAATCTCCAAATCCGCCAAAGTCTTGAATTCAAGATTTTGGAAAGCTAAAATCTTGAAATGGGACAAAATCTTGAAATCAGGATTTTGGAAGGCTAAAATCTTGAAATCGGCCATAATCATAAATTCAGGATTTTGCAAACCTAATATCTTGAAATCGGCCAAAATCTTGCATTTAGGATTTTGGAAAGCTAAAGTCTAGAAATCGCCTTAATTCTTGAATTCAGGATTTTGAAAACCCAAAATCTTGAAATCCGCAAAAATCTTGAATTGAGCATTTTGGAAAGCTAAGATCTTGAAATCGGCAAAAACGTTGAATTCAGGATTTTGGAAGGCTAAAATCTTGAAATCGGCCATAATCTTGAATTCAGCATTTTGCAAACCTAATATCTTGAAATCGGCCAAAATCTTCCATTTAGGATTTTGGAAAGCTATAATCTAGAAATCGCCTTAATTCTTAAATTCAGGATTTTGAAAACCCAAAATCTTGAAATAAGCAAAAATCTTGAAGTGAGCATTTTGGAAAGCTAAGATCTTGAAATCGGCTAAAAATCTTGAATTTAGGATTTTGGAAAGCTAAAATCTTGAAATCGGCCAAAATCTTGAATTTAGGATTTTGGAAAGCTAAAATCTTGAAGTCGGACAAAATCTTGAATTCAGGATTTTGGTAAGCTGAAATCTTAAAATCCGCCAAAATCTTGAATTCAGGATTTTGGAAAGCTAAAATCTTGAAATCGGCCAAAATCTTGAAATTAGGATGTTGGAAGGTTTAAATCTTGAAATCTGCGAAAATCTTCAATTGAGGATTTTGGAAAGCTATGATCTTAAAATCGGCCAAAATCTTGAATTCAGGATTTTGGAAAGCTACAATCTTCAAATAGGCCAACATCTAGAGTTGAGGATTTTGCAAAGCTAAAATCTTGAAATCGTTCAAAATCTTGAAATTCAACATTTTTGGGAAGCTAAGCTCTTGTAATCCGCCAAAATCTTGAATTCAGGATATTGGAAAGCTAACATCTTGATTTCGGAGAAAATCATAAATTGACGATTTTGGAAAGCTAAAATCTTAAAATCGACCAAAATGTTGAATTCTGGATAATGGAAGGCCACAATCTTGAAATCGTTTAAGATCTTGAATTCAGGATTTTGCAAACCTAATATCTTGAAATCGGCCAAAATCGTGAATTGAGCATTTTGGAAAGCTAAGATCTTGAAATCGGCTAAAATCTTGAATTCATGATTCTGGAAGGCTAAAATCTTGAAAGACACCAAAATATTGAATTGAGGATTTTGGAAAGCTAAAATCTTGAACTCCGCAAGAATCTTTAATTCATAATTTCCGAAAGCTACCATCTTGAACTCGTTCAAAATCATGAATTCAGGATTTTAGAAAGACAAAAATTTTAACATTGGCCAAAATCATGAATTAACGATTTTGGAAAGCTAAAATCTTGAAATCGGCGAAAATCTTCAATTCAAGATTTTGGAAAGGTAAGATCTTGAAATCGCTCAAAATCTTGAATTAAGGTATTTG